TAGAGCTAGGGATTTTGAACATTTCTTCATGCGTTTGTTCTCCATCTTAATGTCTTTTTTTTGTGAAGTGTCTCTTCATATTCTGTGGCCATTTCACTATTGTGAAATGTCATTACTAAATATTTTTTCCTACTCTGTGGCTTTCCTTTTTTACCTTGTTGGAGAAGTTTCTGGATGTGCATAGATAGAGATTTGATTCTTAGAAGGTGCCATTCATCCATTTTATCCTTTTCGGGTTGTACGTTTCTTCAGGATACTTGGAGGACTGTTCATGTTAATTCGAACTTTTAGAGTTCTTCCAAGCTTTTCTCTATTGCAATTTATAGTCCTTGGTTTTATTCCTAGGTCCTTGATCTACTTTGAGTTGGTCTTTGTGTATGGTGTGAGGTGTAGATTATGCTTGAATTTTCTGCAGATAGTTTTCCAATTTTGCCAATAGCATTGTTTAGAAAGGCTGATGTTTTTTTCCCCCACTTAACTGATTTCATCTCCTTGTCAAAGATCAGTTGACCATAAGTAGATGGGCTGATTTCTGGGTTCTCAATTCTATTTCATTGATTTACATGTCTGTCATTGTTCCAGTACCTTGCTGACTTGACCATCACGGCAGAGTAGTAGAATTTGAAATCAGGGAGTGAGATGGCTCCTACCTTGTTTCTCTTTTTAAGGAGGGCTTTGCTTATTGGGGGCGTCTTTCAATTCCCAGTGAAATCCGAGATCACCTTTCCATTTCATTGAAGAATGGAATTGGTATTTGTATTGGGATTGCCTCAGATGTGTAAATTGCCTTTGCATCCAACCTGGAGGACACACACTCAGAGCTAAGGAAGTCAGTACCTGTGGCAGACAGGGACTACACCCACTCTGGGAAAGGACTTGCCTTTGGAGGTGGTGTTGAGTCGGCTGTGCTTGAGCAAGACTTTAGCTTCTTCTCGGGCTTTCTTCCTGTTACTATGCTCAGCCTTCACTGGTGAATGGCTCTCTGACAGAGGAAACTGACTTCAAGTTACCCTTTTTCAGCTCCTTAGCTGAGAGAATTGGCTAGCTGATTTAATGGCTCTGAGCACACTGGGGTGGGCGGCTGTTTGCACCTTAAATGTCACTAATATTTGAACTACAGAATAGCTCACTGGGTAGATAAAATACTGCTTAAGGTATGCCCTGCAAGACACCGGACACTAGAATACATTCTAACACATTTAGCTGCTACAATGCATCTTGCTTTGAGATTTAAGACCCAGTGCTTCATAAAGCAGGGCCTCCATACCAGTGATGACCGAAGGTACCTCTCAGGAACCCTGAAAACTGCAGGTTTGTGTTGATCTGGTCACTGAACATCTAGGAGGTCTGACACCCAGAGGCTCTGAGTGAGAAGAAACACAGTTAACTCCCAAGAAGCTCAGGGACTTGGAAACCTAATATGAGAGGTCTGCTCTGTTTGGAGGACCTCTGTCACTCAGAGACAGTTTGACTCCAGAGGGTTCACAACAAACTATCAGAGGTATTTTTTAATCTATTCAACGTCATAATATACTCATAATATACTTAGTAGCGATGCTACTAAACCACAGGTGGGTGACTCTAATCCGTGGCCCTCGGGCCTGTCTTTAATAGTTTTTGGTGAAACATTCTTCTAGGTCGTATAGCCCTGGTGTGTCCACTTGCCGTACAGAGGCAACTTGTGGTCACTGTGAAGCTGAACACTGTGAGACATTTGTCAAATGCACTAATAGTTACCCATGGCGAACAGTGTTTGGTGGCGCTCCCAGCTAAAACAAGCTTGGAAGCAGGAGTGGTCCATAAATAGCTTGCCTCAGGAAACCATACTAACATGGAAAAAAGGTGAAAGTCACGTAACTGTCAAGGACTTTCCTTCATTGGGTCACTATGAGTTGCCTATGACTCAACGGCACTTAATAGCACAACAATTATGCAATCTTATTGCATCTACAATAACTTATGAAAAGGTTTGAAATATTATGATAATCACTGAAATGTGACATGGAGATTTTGGTGCTGAGAGACTAGTTCAAAGGAAGGTTTGCATAGACCTTCAATTTATAAACAATATAATATCTGCAGAGTGGAATAAATAAAGCCAGTCTGTATAAAGTTTCAAAAATTTTTATTTTACCAATTAGTAAACTTGTGTTCTGTTTTTTCCCAGCCACATTCAGCAGTGGGGAGTTGTATAGTAACTTTAGTTGCACTAATAGTTTCTGATACAAACTTGGTTTCTTTACACGACAGTCTCTACCCCATCCATTCCCTGGTGGACACAAGGGGACACTAGACACACATGTCCTCAGGTGGCCTAGGGTTGTTCACACAATCAGTATGAACTGGCTAGGAACAAACCTCTCAGGCTTTCTCCTTTTTTTTCCCTCCCTCAATTTCCACGATGTTGGGAAAAGATATCTTGAACAGAAATTTCTGCTTTCTTTTTATAATTTTACATTATTTCACCCTGAAAATTGGTGATAACTCGCTGGGTGGATAAGCATCACCCAAAGGACAAGGAGGGAGGAGAGTTGTTGTTCTAGACTCTCCCTCCCTTCTACTCAGACGTCACTCTCTTTTTAGTGACCTCAGGCCAGGACAGCCCTTGGACCTCCTACTGGTTTGGATGAACTATTTTAGGATGCTGTTACCAGTGACACAGCATTAAATTCTCAATTTCCTGTTCACTTCATTATTTCTGCTTCTTTTCTTTAATTCCTTCTATCACTGCAGGCGTGGGATAATTAAGTGCAGTAGGGTGTTTAAGGACATTGTAGAACTGGGCACTATTTTGTTCTCTTGGCATAGAGTCCCTTTGAGCTGGAGTTGATTTGATGGTAGCCAACAACAAGAGCATGGCCTCTGTAGGAGCCCTGGTTGTGCAATGTGTTACTGATGCTCAAAAGTTGGTCTGAATCATGTTCACTATGTTACTGATGCTCAAAAGCTGATACTGGGCTGAAGCTCAAGTTTTGGTCCGAAGCATCAGCTACTCTGTTATATAAAGACGGGGCAGTCTGCTCTGGTAAAGATTTACAATCTAGTACAAATTTACAACCAATGGACAAATCCAGTCTGTCCTACAGCGTAACCATGAATGGGAATGGACTGTATGGCAGTGCTTTAGCTTGGCTTTGTTACTTGTAATTGGAACATTTGAATGTTAATCAAAAGACCAGTTGCTCAAATACTGCAGCTATTCTGGAAGATAAAGATGGGGAAGTGAGTTTCTCAGATTATAGCCTTGAAAATTTCTAGAATAGCTCTGTGCTCACCTATAGAACTTCTCTAAGTTCCAGTGGAATTGATGACGACATGCTTGGGCTTTCTGTTTGTTTTTTCAGTATTTTTTTTTCTGAACTCTTAAGTTCAGGTCAATATACAAAGCTCTGTGTCTGGTTTGCAGACTACGAGAATCACTTCTTTCTCTCCATTACCGCAGGATTCATCCGTTGAGCAGTTACTGTCCCTTCTCCATCCTGAGGTTTGAAATACAGACCCAGAAAGGGGCCTGTTTCTCTAGCGTGCAGGACAGGAAAGTGCACTGCCGTTTTTAAGCCAATTTCTGTTGACTTAACTATGACTCAGTGATGCCAAGCATGTCAGAGTTGAACCATGCTCAGTAGAGTTCTGAGTGGTGCTATCGTGTAAGCAGATTCCCTGACATTCCCTCCAAGGCGCCTCTGATTAATGTTCCTCTCCCAACCTGCAGTCCGCACCCAAACATCGTCCACATCTGTCCCCTCAGGAACTCCATCCCGCCATGTACATGGTGCCACTGAGTCAGCACCCTCTCATGGCGATGCTCCCCATGCTCCCCACTTGACAGAACTCCCCCCCCCCTGGATTTCCTAGATTTTAATAATGATGGAGGCAGATCATCAAGTCTTTATCGTGAGGAGCAGCTGGCGGGTTCAGTTAGTGTGGTTGTTTGAAAGGGCCGTTGAGAAGGTCGGAATCATAGAGTTCCTGCGGGTCACAGGATAACACAAGTCCTGGTCCTGTGCCGGCCTCACAACCATTGCTATCTATGTTTAAAGTTCATTGTAGCAACCACTGTGGCAGTACATCCCACTCAAGGTCTTCCTATTTTCTCTGATCCTATACATGATAAAGCAGGATTCTGATTTGACCTAAAAATGAAACTACAAAGTGAGCACGTGCTCTTTGAAAACTGAACCCAACAGGCTTGTTGAAGGCAGTGTTGCCAGGAAGCTTCAATTTATAAAATCACAGGATCTGTGTGTGAGGCTCAGTAAAGTAAAACTCAAGAAAACAATAAAAAAAACATGAGAACTTGAACCCCTGTATCACCAGGGTACCAATTCCCAAACACCTCAGTGTTACTTACTGCATAGACTTGTCTGTTTAGGTTGATGTGAATCACAACTTTGAACTAGTGTGTGATAGGTGTTACGATTGTCCTAATGATATTAATGGCATATGAATTCAGTTCTGCTCTATGTTATAATTCAGTACAATTACATCTAAGTGTCTTACTCAGAGCTTAAAATTGTTGTGCTGTTTGTGCTTTTGGGTGTCATGGATTAGCTCAGACTTAAAGCTAGCCTGGGTACAAGAGTATAAAATTCTGTCTAATTCTGTATCTTGTTTATTACTTAAAAAATTTCTTCTGGAGTCATATTCCAGATTGACTTACTGACTGGTGTTAACAAGGTTTTACTCTCATATAGAATGTAAAAATTAGACTCTAATCTAAATGGTCTGGGATATTGCTTCCCTAAGATGCCAGCCTCAGAAGCTTTATTCAGTAGTTACCTGGAGGCCTAATGGTAAGAAGTTGTGCTGAAATCGGAAAGGCACGTAGTTAGAATTCACCAAGATAGGCCATCTCCTCCTGTGAGATTTACTGCCTCTGAAAATCTGCTGGAGGGTGAGCTATGGGTGTGACTCAACAGCGCCCAATCACGTCCTGCCCTATAGGGTCAGGAATGAATCTGAATGTTTCATTAGTAACGGAGTTTGTTTCTTCTGTGTTGTTATGTCCTCAGGTTGATCCTGACTCGTGATGGTCCATGTGGGTCAGAGTAGAACTTGGAGGAGTACTTGGGGTCTTCAAGGATGTGACCTGGATAAGAAACGGATACCCAGGGCTATTTTTCATATTTTCTCTGGGTATAATTGAACCACCAAACTTTTTTTTTCCAAACTTTTAACTAAGAGTTAAGCACTTGACTGTCTACCTCACCCAGAGACTCTACTGTTGAGCTAGGATCTATTATTATCCTCATTTCACTGATGAGGAAATAAAGGCACAGAGAAGTTAAATGACTTTGTCCATGGTCAAGGAGGTCCTAAGTAAGCGAGGTGGGATTTAATCTTAGGCACTGTGGATACAGATGTACCCTTTAACAAACAGGGAGCACTTCTACTTCCCAAATGACATTAAAAAACGTTATGAAATGCCATAATGACTTTGTAGAGATCTCTGTTTAATGTGTAATACTACGTAAATAGAAACTAGTTTGTGCCACATTGTGGTAAAGTTTTTAGATGTAACCATTGACTTGGTAATGGATACTTTAGAGAAGTCAGGCATTGGGTTTCGTTTCTAATCCTGAGACAGTGCTTGTGGCTGGAATGATCAGATGTTATGTGAGTGGTGGGAGATACTTCTGGAACTAAAGCCACCTTAGGAAGATGACCTGGTGATGTGCAGCTGGAAAATCAGACAGTGTCGATGAAGTTTTTCTAATGTACATGGTGGCCATGAATCAGAATGAAGTAGATTTCAAATAAGTAACTGGTTACTTAACTTGCATTTAACGTGGTGGAAAAGTCAAAGCAAAAGCCTAGAGATTGCCCAAGGCTGAGACCCCAGAATTATCTGAAAACTTGTCATCATTCTACATCTACTCATCTAGGCAAGATATATTCCAGGACAAATGTCCTCACAGATACAGAAAAAGATGTGAATGAAATTGTGAGTTTTCATTTCAAGGAAGATGCCACAGAGCCACTGATTTGTAATGTGAGTGGTTGCTTGAAATTAGGAGATTTTGGTTCCTATTATCGTTTGGAGAACTTTCCGGTCTCCAAGCATGCAGTTCAGTGGTTCCAAGATAGACTCATTCCCAGGGTATTTGTGTCAGCTGGGCACCCAGTGAAGCTGTGGGCCCCAGAGGAGGTGCAGCCAAGAACAGAAAGGAGACTCACCCACCTTGACTCTCAGACTCCCACCTTCCCAGTTAACACCAACAACATATGATGATGTATTTAGATTGTTTATTCATAGGAATTGACTCTAAAACACCCAAGAGTGAAGAGAAAAGGACTGAAAGCCCATATCTCATTTTGGTTGGCAGGAGTGGATCCATTTGACTCAAGAGAAGTTTATCCTTGGCAATTGTTACCACCGATTGGGTAAATATCCAAAGAATTGTGAGTACTTTTCCAGGACATATAGGAAGCCACCTAAGATTGCGCTTGCAAGGGAAGTGCCATGTTGGGAGGAATCATCTGGGGAGAGAGTGACAGAATTTAATGAATTCCGGGCCACCAATCATAGACCTTTATTGCACACCATTCTCTTGAGCGTTTCAACAACTTTGTAGCCAACTTGCAGGGACTGTATAACTTCTGCTGGTGCCTCACACTGGCCCCCTTTCCAGGGTCCTTCAGGTGCAAGATGAATGTTGACTTCTACTGACTCTTTTCCTAGGGGAATAATCTTCATTGCAGCCTCTTCACTTGGGATCCTATGCCCCATCCCCAAATGATTTCTAACACCCATCCTGCCAGGGTGATGTACTGTGTTCGCTTATGTGTTGCTATGATGCTGGGAGGGTGGCCACTGGAACAGGCATACCTCCGACATACTGAGGACACAATCCAGACCATCACCATAAATCCCTGATCACCATAAGTCAAATCACACAAACCTTCTGGGAGTTTCACAGACATAAATCCTCTACCATTCACTGTTTATTGTAGCTCAGTGTAAAGAAACGTTTGGCATTAAAACAAATTTGGTTTCTCTGAATCCATGATCAGTATATGTGGAAGCTTCAATGTGTGTAGAAGCTGTACAGTGAATCAGAAAGACTGACAAAGACTTGATGCCTTTGAACAGTGTGTTGTCCAAGAATACTGAATATCCGCATGGACAGCCAACAGAAGAAATCGATCTTCCTAGGAAGAAGTGCTGTCTTAGTGCCCTTTAGAAGAAAGGAAGGTGAGGCTCTCTCTGGGATATTTTGAACATGTTATCAGGAGGGACCAACGTTCACAACAGGAAATCATGATTAGAAAAGTGGACAATCAATGGGGAAAATGAAGCATTTCAATGAGATGTGTTGTCACAGTGAGAGCAACAATGGGCTTAAAGCAGTGAGAGAGTGTGAGGATGGTGTGAGACCTGGCATTGATCGGTCCTCGTGTGTGTAGGGTCCTTATGACGAGAGCAGACGAGAGTGTTAAACAACACAGTCCTCTACTGTGCCCTTCTGTGCTGTGCAAAGCCCCAATTCCTCCCACCTTCATTTGTGCAGGTGTACGTGCATATTTCACAGTCTCCCCTGCACCCATCACACAAGACCCCTGCCTCACTGTGTCTAGAATGTCCCATTCTTATGTCCCATTCTTCCCTCAGCCATCACTTACAAGCTGTGCTGAAGCATCCATCTGTAGCCTTCTGCCAGCGGAGGATATTCACAAGCCACCGGGAATTGTAAAAATTAACAAACCCAGCAGTTCCACACAGCATGACTGGAAAAAAAAAAGAGAGAGAGAGACGGGGTCCTTCTGCTTGGCTTGCCCCCTAGGTAGACCTCCTCCACCAAAGCCCATCGCCTGCCTCTTCCACCAGGGTCCTGTCAGCCCAGAAGATGACACATGAAAAACTAGCTGGAAGAAGCACCCTCGGCTCCACCCTCACCACAGAGGCTCATGCATTTGTGCTCTGCCTCTTCTTTACAGCCTACCTAGGTCAAGGGTGTTCAAAGCTGGGGACAGTAAAATGATCTGAAGATCATGGGGCTTTACAATCTAACTGGTGTGGGGAGAGGGCAAGGAAAATGGGAAATAAACAGTAGGAATCTGAAAAGACAATGTAAAGGGGCGCATAGTTCCATGGGGACTGAATTTACAAAACACAATGAATGGGAATGATTGTAGTGTGGAACACAATGTATATGAATTTTGTACACATATAGATGTAAAACAAAAAATTAAAAAATAAAAATAGTTCATGGAACACACTAATACTGAATAATTCTTACAATATCCAATATTTTAATGAACTATGGAAATGATTCTTGAAAGTATAGTCTTAAAATCCAGTATTTTTATAACAAAACTTTTTAAAAATCCCAACATTTTAAAATATCATTTCTCTGATTTGGTCATTTTACCTAAGTGTAAAACCTATGGCTTTACTTCTGGCCTCATCTCTGAGTCTTTCAGTCTGCCTTTGTTCCGTGAGTCTGTCCAGTGTTCAATAACTGAGACAGTTTTGGGAGACAGGAAGCACCTCTCTGAGTGATGACTGATAAAATACGGAACACATTCCGTTATCTTTGAATTTCTAGAGCCCCTTTGTACTACAATAAAACCTACGAAATTCAGAGTTGTGATATAAGGCCTGCAACAAGATGGGGGGGAAAATGTTTTCCTTTAAATCAATTGGTAGAAAGGCAGTAAAATTTAAACCTGTGCAAGTTGGAAATATGTTCTGCCTGCAAACCAAAGCTAGTTTCCACTGTATAAATTGATCCCTTGTGATAATGGAAAATATTTTTACTGAAATAAGTGCTTATCTTTATTTGGAATTTAAATCCAGCAGGAAATCTGGTCTTTTCACTTTTTATAAAGGAAAATTCTGCGTGTATACACACACACGTACACACAAACACACATTTGCACACACATTATGCTGCGTTTGTCTAAGAGCATGTTTCTGACTGTGTCTGCTGTGTGAACACATATATGCCTATCTGTGATTTTACATGTTCACGTGTACATGCATGTATCTTGGATGCTTGTACACATGTGCTGACATGTGTATGCTAGTGTGTGTAAACACTCATTTCTGAATCATAAAGACACTGCTACTTTGAGCGAGAAGGAGGGACTTACTGCTTTCCAAAAATTCATCACGAGAGGAACTGTGGTAATTCGTGCTTTCAATTTCTGCATTCTCATTCATCAGTTTGGAACAGACTCTGTTCATGTACTGTTGGGATTTTTTGTACATCCCGTTTCTGCATCCAATCTGGAAGACAAACCCCCAGAAATAAACAAGTCAGCACCAACGACAGGCAAGGGCAGCCACCGCTCCTGGGAAGGATCTGCATTCTTGGTAGTCGGGCAGGTGGATGAACCTGGTTAGGCCTTCACCCTACTTTACAAGATTTATCTGCACTTCCACTCCTGCCATGTTTGGACTTTGTCACTCTCAAACTCCTCTGAGTGAGAGAGAAGAGAGTTCAAGTGCTGACCCCACCGTGTCCTATACACTTGATCTTGGCCAGCTGGGTAAGCATTCTGGGTCAGGGATAGCACATCTCCAGTGATGCCAGGAGGACAGGCCTTGGAAACATCTTTACAAAGTTCTATAGTCTCCTGCCATCAGCCCTGATGAGGTGTAAATGAATCCTTATGCTTATATTGAAAAAGAGATGAAGTTATTGACACTTTAATCCTTAGCTGCAGGCAGTCCATCTCATTCAAAGTACTCATCTTTTTATTTACTGATATTCTATTTCACTAAACATGGTATCTTGTTTTAGGAACTAACTCATCCCGATCACATCCCCATAGGACATGAGACAAGCCTTGCCTCCTCAGAAGTAAGCGGATTCTTGTGAGACTTTTGTTCACTTCCTTAACTTAACCATTAAAGATGCTTACTGCGTAGTCTTTATTCCCATCTTGCTCTCCCACACACCTTGGCCATCTCATACTTACCATTTTGGAGAAAAGGAAGTACATCAGCTGCTGGATTCTCTGGCTGTGTGAGTGGACAGGCATCGTCATCAATTGCCTGCAGAATTCTGTGTACGTGCAAGACTTGGGGTGACCACTGTCAGGGAAAAGATGCTGTGAGTCATTAAAAAGAATCCGAAGTCATGGAGCTTCCCATTCGTGCCCACAACTCCTCTGAGTATGATCATATGCTGGTAAATGCCCTCCTCAGGCCCTGACATCAAGTTGATTCTGCTACAACTATTCTATAGGATAGAAGATAAATTCTACAAGTCTTAAAACTTGTAAGTCATTTTTATGGGAGCTGACTATCTTTCTCTTCCCCTGAGAAGCCCCAGGGTTTGGAGCACCTATATTTCATTAAAAGTGGTGTTTTGCGAAGACTGTTCTGGTTAAAGTGGGTGAGGATGGAATGGAGATCACGCAGGGCTCTCGATGGAGTGCACGAGTGGTGGGGGTGGGCCATAAAGGATACAGTGGTTTGGACTGAAGAGGTGGGCAGAGTGATGAATGAGCTGAAAAAGACCAGAAGTAGGAGGAAGAGGTGTCTATGATTCTTGGGAAACTGGATCAAGTTTTATGTAGACCTTTGGATTCAGACCAAGTTTTATGTAGACCTTTGGGGACCCTCAGAACTCAAGGAAAGCACTATGGAATCTTTAGGGAATGAGGGTAGGCAGTTGAACACACCTGTTATTCAGTAGAGTTATCGTACATATCTCGCTGGTATTTGCCCTCACAATTTCTACAGTGTATAATCTTGTGGGAATCACTGTGTCTTTGGTAAGGAGCAAAGGTTGGGGAACCTTCCAGAAATCTTCCCGGATTAACACTTCGAAAACTGAAAGAGAAAATTCAAAGTAATGCTGGACAAGAATTGAGCTAGGAATAACTACCCAGTGGCTGAGGTGTAAAATATACACCTGGTCAAAGGGCTTCCTCAGGAAAAAAGCTGCATGGGGTCAGTTGTAGCTCCTGAGTGTTTCTGATGTAACTGTGCTCTGGCTAATTCATCTTCACTCCAGGTTCTGAGATTGAGACGTAATTAAATTAATGCCCCACATCAAGCTGTCCCTGAGCCCTTCCACAAGCCTGTGTGGCTTCAAGTCATTCTTTTGGGGATTCCATTGGCATAAATCATTCTAGAAACACATTAAAAATTTTTTTTAAAAAAAAGTTGGGAATAGTCTAACCAGGCTTTTAACTTTTCTTGTTTCATGTGTTACCAAATCAATGTCAACGCAATACAAGCCTGTTAGGGCTAAGGAAAATGGTCCTGAATTGTCTTCCAAAGATCATCTTTACTGAAACAGAGGATTTTCCCTTTTAACGCACCATGCCATAGTAGATTTGAGCTTTCCAACTTATAGTTGGCATTTGATCAATAAAATATAGCACCACCAGGTCCCTCGGCTTAGATAAAATTGATAGCATCACATGGAACCTTGAGAAATTTTACAAATACTACATCCTGCCTTGGATTTCAGAATCTGTGGGTGTTGCAAACGGTTAATATAAGTGGATTCTTATAAAAAACTTAGAGGTTCCAACACGCCGAGCAGCCTCAGAATACAGGCTTTGCAATTGTCTTCTAACATATCTACCCTGATAATGCTATCAGTGACAGTTCTCTTCTGTTACCCATGGAGTCACTTGAGCTGAGGTTGATGAATTAGTAATTTGGGCCCATGTCAGCCATTAATACAATCTAGTTCCAATGTTATAGAAGGACCCTAATACGGTGACCCCACACTAACAAAAACAGACACTCGAGTAGTTTAGGGAGTAAAGAGTATTCTAGCAAGATGTTAGTCATTGAGGCAGAATTGGTTCAATTACTGTCTAGATCTTCCACGCTCTGGTATAAACCACTATTCTAGGATGAGGACCCATGGGAACCATGGGAGGGGGCCGCCTAGAGTAAGCTGACATCTACTCTTTCACTCTGTTGGGAGGGATGATGACACACCGTGATAGATGAAGAAAAAGACTGACGTTGTCAACTAGCTCATTTTCGTTCACTCCACAATCAACATGCTAATAGCACTCTAGACACCAAACGCCATGGTGCACTTGGCAATGTGATGTCAAGCACACTGATTACCATGGACTGCCCACACAACAAGCCAACTGCTCTTGGAGGAAGTGCACACAGTGTCCTCAGAGGCACAAGACAGGTCAAGGTTCAGATCTGGTGTTCATTGGGTCACTAGGACTCTTGACTTGTTAATTCTTAACAAAAACTACATGGGAGGAAGGGACCTTGTAACCTAGAGTCAAGTTCAAGTGAAACACTTAACCTGCAGTTAGGTTTGTCTAGGGTGGTAGGGGGTTCTGACCATCCCATGCCTCAGAAGAGGCTGAAACACATTGCATTACTGTGTGGGTAGTTACCGCCTAATTTGCCAGATAAAGCCTTGGACAGTTGAAAAATGGATCTGCCGAGAATATACTCCAGCTTCCTGGAAAAAGTCTTCATCTTTTTGTCTATTGACTCCATCTCAGGATTCCTGGCCCATAGCTCCGTAATGCCTTTGACATATGCTAGGAGGAAACACAGTTAGTTCATTCTTTTGTGAGTGTAGGAGAAATATGTAGTTATAACACTTACTGCATTTGCTTTAATTGTATCTCCCTCTATTATGTATATGTACATCCTATGTCACAGTTCTTCTCTGTGACCACTAGTGGTTGTAATGTGCCCCTCAGAAATATATTGTTTTAAATCCTAAGCCCTGTATTGATTACAATTCCATTTGGAAATGGATTTTCTGTGCCATATAAATGAGTATTTTTACTGGATGCATCTTCAGTCAATCTCCTTTGAAAGAGAAAAGAGATTAAACAAGCAAATGAATCTACAGTGATTAGGAGAGACAGAGAGTTTCAGCAACAACGCCTGGGAGTCACACAACAAGGACCTTCCTACAAATCCAACAGGCAAAGCTAGATCAGCTCACAGTTTGGTGCTTCTTTCCTGCCTCACCCTAGTCCATGCTGGTAGATGGGGGTGCAGAGGTAAGCCTGGGGGCTCTCTTGAAGGAAGCCTGGCATATGAGGATTACAGAGGGAAATGTGAGGAGGCCACATGGTTTGGAAGTCAAGTTGCAGCTCCAGGGACTGAAGCTGATTTGTCCTGTAACCCTACCTCCTGTGGAACCCAGACTTTTCTAGTGTGAACAAACTCTGCCACCACCACAGAGGTTATGGGTGGTTTGGGAAATCCACTGCCCAGATCCCAGCTGAAGGCCGGGACACCAAGTCATCTTCAATCTTCCAAAGTACAACAAGTACTACTCTGTTCTCTCAGCACCACCAGGGAGCTTCAACCAGAAGCAGAGGAAGCTTGGGTTGGAATTCAGCCTTGAGGGTCTCTAGTTATGAACCCCCATTTTACCATTGTAGTGGTTACCCCATAAATGCCAGTGGAAAGGACACATTCTGCTACCTCCTTTTTAAGTAACACGGTGGCAGACCAGCACAAAGGATCTGTAACTATGAAAGTAGCAACATATAATTGTTTTTTATCCTGTTAAATTGAAGTCATACCTCTAAAACATAAGGTCCGTAATCTTCCCTCCCACGTTCAGGACACTCAGGAGAAACGAGTCACCCATTTGCTCCTTTCCGTGGCCTGAGCAGACTACTCATCTACCTGATGGTCACTGGACTCCTGGGGTTCACAGTCAGTCAGAACAGAGCGTGACTGGGACCCCACTCACCTTGCAGAATTCGGAGAGAAATCACGTCATCCACAAAGAGATTGTTCTTCTTCTCCAGGCAGGTGGTGGCCGCATTCAGGGAGGACAAGATCACATCTGCCATAGGAGTTGTGTCATTTTCATCATGTGTTTCAATATCTTTTAACAAAAATTGTGGTGATGTTGGGTGCTGCCGTGACAAGGTCAGCAGCAGGAGTGAGAGCAGCATCCCAAGGACGGACATGGTTCATTCTGCTCTCACATGAACGATCATTTTATACCCATCGTCTGGGTCAGGATGGCTTTCCCCCCTCCACTCGGCTCCTCCTTCTGCTCCTCCTCCCTTAGAGTTCAGATAAGGGCAAGGTAAGACTCACTTGTCTGGGATGACTGGAAACACCACAACTCCACAAAGGCTTCTGGGAAGGACAACTGCTACGAATTATCCAGTGCTCTACTAACAAAACATCACCCAGTCCTGTTCCATCTTATGATCATTGGTACATCTGAGTCAAGGCCACTGGGCCAAGCCAGAACATCTAAAACATGATCTTACATATATTATTTTCTTTAACCTATTAACACTGGTGACAATTAAAATGTGTCAGGAGAGTATCTTTAGGTTTTGCCTTGAGCTTTTGCTTTTATCATTAATTAATGTCATGAAGCTGCCTACAGCTCACAGAAAACATAAAAACAAGAGATTTAAACCTTGCCCGGCCCTGAGACATCCTCCAATTCTCTAATATGCCTGAGTCCACTGTTAGAGACACTTTATCAGTGCACGTTGTCAAGAATTTTCTTCTCTCCTTCTGATTCTCCTCATTTTTAAACATAATATATTTTTCTAATCCTGGTCCTTTCTAACAATATGCTCAAAATATGTGCGATAAAGTTTCACCATTCTTGCCTCTATGGAGCACCCTGACAGGACTTCTTCTGAGACAGACAATGTTTGTTCTTTGGTAGTCTATGGGGTATTCGGTATTTTTCTCCAAGGCCACAATTAAGAAGAAACAGAGGCATTGACTCTTCTTTATTCTAAATGTCTAACTTTCAAAACCATAAGAAGCAACTGAAAAACAATGGTTTAAATCAGATGCACTGTTGTTGTTGTTGTTAATGTCTTCAAGTCGAGCAAGATTCACAGTGACCCTATGAACATAAGATCTGAACCCTGTTCTCTCCTGAGCCAACCTTACCCTTCCTGACACACAAGAGCCCATTGCACCAGTCACCATGCCAACCCGTCTGATTGTGGGTCTGCCTCTCCTTAGCCAACCCTCCCCTCTTCCCAGCTTCATATCCTTCTCCAAGAAATAGCACCTCCCAGCAACAAACCCAAAGTGTGTGAGGAGAAGCCTCATCATTCCTGCCTCCAAAGAGCACTCCAGCTGCACCCACTTCAAAGTATATCTTTTTGTTCTCTTGGCTGGTCATCCATGGGATGTTCAGTGTTCCTCTCCAACACCAGAGCTCAAAGGTGTCCATTCTTTGTCTGTCATCCTTATTCATTGTCCAGCTCTCAGAGGCATACCAAGAGGTCAGAAAGACTATGACATGAGTCAGACACACACATTTTTTTCTCTATTCCTCATATACCCTCCAGCTCTCAGATGCACAGCAAGCAATCAGAAAAACTATGGCCTGAATCAGATGCACCTTAGTCCTCACACTGCCATTATTCCTCAATAATTTTGAGAGTTCCTAACTGCAATTAGATGTACTTAAGTTTTTAAAATTATATCCCTGCTTCTTGGCACTTTGGAGAGATCCCTCACAGCAAATTTTCCAAGTGCAACATGTCTCTTGTTTACTTTACAATTGTTGCTATGAATATTAATGGTGGATCATAGTAAAATGGGATCATTGTTCCAATTCATGGAGGCCTCATATGTTACAAACTAGAACTATTCCAGAGGGTTTTGTAATCTGTCATCTCCACAGAATACTTGGTGGCATAGTAGCTAAAGTTCTCTGCTGCTGCCACAAAGTTCAGGGCTTCAAACACACTATCTGCTCCACCAAAGAAAGTGGGGCTGTCAGCTTCTAGAGCTTGTTCAGACCTGGGTGCCCTGCAGAGCATTGCCGCTCTATTCAGCAGTGTTACCAAGTCAAAATTAACACAGCAGCAAGCTTTTCTTATATTTTTATTTCCCTTAGTTATTTTAACATCTTTTTTATATTAGTTTCCTTACAGAGTTCATATATATATTGTGTTTCACAGTATTCTTCATTCACTTTGTGTTTCATATAATCATTCCCATGCATTATATTTTATAAAATTAATCACTATTGGACTATGCCCACCATTACACTGTCTTTTCAGGGTCCCATCAGATCTTTCTCATTTCCTTTATCCTCTCCCTCTACCCATCAAATTGTGCAGCTCTGTGATTTCACCCCCTACCCATCCTCATCCCACTGCTCCCACCACTACCCTCCTTGGATGCCCACATAATTTACTTGTTACCCTTCTAGGTTACAAAAATGGCCTTATGCATTATTTGTCCTTATGAAACTGAGTTAGTTCACTCAGCATAATGCTCTCCCATCTGTTGCCTATTATGTAGTATTTGTCAAAACTGTTGCTTCTGAGTGTTGCATAGTTTTCCATTGTGTGAGTGTACCATAATTTCTCAATCCATTGAGTTGTAGTTGTATATCTGCCTGTCCATGTTCTTGGAATGGTGAATAATGCTGCTATGAACACTTATGAAAAACTTCGTTTGTGTCTCAGTTTTAATTTTCTTGAGATATATTCGTAGTAGTGGAATAGCTGGGTCATACGGAGTTTCTATGTTCAGTTTTTTTAGGAAATGTTAAACTGCTTTTCAGAGTAGTTGTAGCATTTACAATCCCCATCAACAAAAGCATATATTTTTTTATGTTGTTTATGTTGCAAGAAGTTAACTGCCAAGCTTCTTCTCTTGGAGTGCTGCTTACCAGTCCTTTTTGTCCAAGTTGCTGCAAAATTTTTGTGCTACCCAGGGATTTTATATGACTTTCCTTACTGTTGGAACCATTATGAAATGAGCAGGATTGTGTACGATCTCTTGTTAGTGACTGCCTTGGATCATTTTACCTCAAGGAAATGAACACATTCTCTCATAATAAAGACATGTCCCAGATATCCCAGAGTTACTCCTGGTGTGTGGGAACCATAAGGTATTGTCCTTATCTCCTTGAATTGTGAGAAATAGAGGAAACTGTCAGAGATTCCAAATCTTAATTTAGATTAGGACACTGGACTGATAGGAGTGACCTGTCCAAGGCCAATCGTGGAGCCATGCTCTATTGAGGATATGTGGTCTCCAAACCACAGTGCTAACCGGTCAAGAGAGCTAGGGAGTATAGAAAGAGGCCCAGGCTCCATCCAAGTCAGGTAATCTAAAAGCAGATATTTCAATTGTCTGACTGTCCCTCCTTCCATTTCTACATGTTAATTCAACCTTCAGCGTTTCAGGATGAGGGAGCTCTGGTGGCCTAGTGTTAAAAATCTGTGCTCCAATGTCAAAGGTGTGCAGTTCCAAATCAAACAGCTGCTCAGCAAGAGGATTAATATTCTTCTCCGTGTGATTAACTGTCTATGAAAACCTGCTGGAGGGTCAGCTATGAGTTGGTTCAGACTCGAGGATGCACAACAACCACCACCTCCAACTCTCATTACTAGGATCAGTCAAGTCCTCAGACTATGACCAACCACTTTCCTTCTACGTAAAAAGGGCAGGCAAAGAGCATTGAGAGAATCAGAGTATAACTATACTAAGTCTTTAGTCAGCTATATTGCAGCTCTCTGGTCTTTTGTTTGGTATTTCCCCAGGGTAAGCAGGGTCTGTGATGGAATGGGTCCCCTGCATGTTCTGAATAGCCCAAGGGTGAGGGCAAAGGACCAGCTTCACTAAGGTGCTCTAGACGGCTCAGAAAGGGACCCTTTCAAGACGACTCTCATAGAAACACACGTTGTACTGTAACTGAGCTTGATTCTCTCCTTGAAGCCCTGTCAGTGTGTGCTCTTCCATGTTCACTGTGACCATTCACATCCACCACAAACAGGGTAGGACTTGGGCCACAGTTTCTGCAAGAATAATTTTTAAGAATGAGGCTGATAGTTTCTTTTCTTTTTCTCTTTCATGCAAGAGAAATTGGATTTTCAAATTGGAGATAATGCACAGATTCTTTGTCATTTCTTTAAACTTTATATTGAAAAAGGTTTACAGTGAGACGGGAGGAAATAAGGCAACAATGAATGAAGTTCTTTTTTTTCCTAAGGTGAACTGAGGGGGAGTAGGGAGGAAAATGTGCAACAATGAATGCATGAAAATTCAACTTTTCTGTAAAGTTTCATTAAAATAACAATTTTTTTAAAGGGAGGGGAAAAATGTTTACATAAAAGTAGAATAAGACAGTTTGAGAAGGCTCTAACACTATCCCAATTCTGTCTTGGTGTGCTTTCAGGGGACTCTGAAACACGTGGGGACAGGGACTGATTTTGGAAACACCAAAGGGAGAAGCTAGAGGTTCTTTTCTAGCCATGCGGGGGTCCAAGAAACTTTGATGTAAAAAATGCCGTGCTTTTCTCATTGATTCAAAAGAGTCTAAGTGTCATTAACTGAGACTTGGAATGCTCAGAATTTTCTTTTCTAGATCCCCTGGGAACATTTTGCTTACATTTTATTTTACCTCCTTAAGAGCGTCACCTATTTCCCTGAAGAAACATGACTGTATATGACAAGCTAGGATCTTTCTTCACAGAGAGCCTCTGGATCTGAAGAACCCATTTCTTTGTGACTCTGTAGTATCCAAGTTTCACCTATCTCCAAACTCACAAGTCTCTGCTGTATTCTCAAGAGTTTGCTACTGCTGGAAATGCAAATCTAGATTCTTCTAGGCCAAGAGTCTGCACACTGGCAATGACTCATTGTTCTGATTTACATTTTTACTCTTCCCCCCCTGTTTTTTGCAGAATTCTCCAGTGTAATTTCTGGTCTGAAATCATAATAGTACTTTAACCTGGATTTTAATATCAATTTAATCTTTAAAATAAAAAATCCTCTTATAGCCCTAAGAACTGGGAATAATTTTATTTATTTATTTTTAACTTTTTATTAATTTTAATGAACATTTACAGACATTTTGGATTTCCATTCATTCATTGTTGCATTTTTCCCCCCTGCTCACCCTTCCCCCCAAGTTCACTCCTCTCTCTGAAAAGTAAAAGAAAAATTCCTTCATTGGTATACA